GGTATCCATGGCATCGCGAAGGGACAATTCGGCGCCCAGAGGTCCCATGTACATCGCATCGTCGAGCGTCACATTGGCGCTAGCCGGCTGGTTCATGGTGGTGTTGGTACCGAAAATGGTCTATGGCTGAAGTTAGTGTCACGTTCATTGATCATCACAAGGTAGGGAAAAGATAATGAGCGGAAAACAAGTAAGTGAAAGCAGAGACTGTGGGTTGAAAACTTACCTGGCGATTCTGCCAGTCCAAATTCTGCCAGATCCAGTAGAGACGGTCCATCTGAGCGTGGTGAAGGTAGAACACGGGATCACCGGGGCTGAGGTAGACGTCGCTCGAAGGGTCCCCTCCCAGCGCATAGTGTCCGCCCCCGTGGACGCCAAGCTGGCCTGTGCCGACATATCGCGAATCCCCCTGCGCGACAGCTTGGAATCTCTCAATGTCACCAGCGTCACGGATCAGGTCCGTCGTGTTGCGGAGGCTGGCCCAGCGCTGGAGCGGATAGACGTTGAGATCGCGACGCAGGCAGCGCGGATTATCGTCGGTAGGCGTGGCCGAGTTGTAGGAGGTGACGTTGCCGTAGTCCGGCATGGCTTGCGGGCCGAGGTGGACCGTTTGGTTGGCAAAGGGCGCCGATGTTGAAGCCAGGCACCCGCCGCCCGTACCGGCGGGGAGGACTGTCGTGGTGTTATCCCACGCGTTGACGAGGACAAGCCCTTGGTGGGGAGTCGGGACGCCGTCGCTGCCCATCGAAGTCGCGGAGCCGTCGAAGACGGGGCTCGTGGAGAGATTGGCTGTGTCGAAGCCCCATTCCCAGTAGGGGAAGGATCCTGGCGTAATGTTAGTCGTGCTTCTCTCGCTTTGATGTTCAAGTGTGTGTCTCAAAGGCGACGAGCGTACCGTTGTAGCCGCACTCCGACTCCAGCTTGTTCTCGTATGTCCAGATATAGTAACGGTGCCAGAGGAAGAACGTTGCCTGAGATGAGTACTCTGATTAGCCGGGGGTTCTCCCACACATACAAGAAAGTGCTTCGTATGGGTTGATAACCTACCGACAGGTGGACGTAAAGCGTCGCTGCCTGATGCAAGGCCACAAAGTCATCAAACATTGACTTGGAGCCGGCGATCTCGGTGTACAACTCCGGCTGCTGCTGGAGGCAGGTCACGGCATCGGTGTACCTAATACGCTCCTCATCCGGCATGTTTCTCCTGTAAAGGAACGCACAGTCATTATCAGTCAACAAGTTACTTCCCTATCAAATGGCTTTGTCCATCTTCTTTCCTCTTTCCACAAGACTGGGCCATGAACAAATCAGATCCAAAAGACTGGGATCAAGAGACTCACCACTCGCGACGGACTCTGACATTGTCTCTTGTGCACTGGGCGGTCCCGTTTTGACCGGACGCTGTCGCGTTCCCGAGACGAGCGAGGACGTTGCTGTAGGCCTGCTTGTTGAGATCAGACAGCACGGCGCCCGAGTCGATGGCTTCTTGGGTGTAGTTCGTCGCCCTGGGCGCCACCATGAGACCGGAGACGCCTCCTGGGAGCAGCAGCGTGAGCGCTGGCAAGAGGGCCGCGAGAACGGATGCTTGAGGGAGCATTGTGAGATCGAGAAGGGGAGTGTTGGCCTAAGCGGAAAGGAACGTTCTAGAAAAGAAGCGAGCGTGTGCCGGCTTGGTATGGCTCTCTACTGCTAATAGAATATACCGAAAAAGGGTATGGGGGGGGGGGGGAGCTAGACCGAGGATTGAAATGTCTTGCTTGTCCAAGCATCTTCCTCTCGTCGAAAGAGTGGTGACTGGCTCTACTCTTTATACTGAGTTGGGAATCCGTAGTATCTTGCCAAGAGAAAGGGTAAACATGTCGTGTCATGGGCTCGGCGATGATCAACCCGTTCGAAGCTTCATTTGTCCCTCTGCTACCCTTCTTCTTCTTCTTCCTCCTCTTTCAGAGGGGTTGACAAGCACAACCAGCTGCAAAGCTACCCGGCTAGTCGGGATACAGGCCCACCGGGATCACGACGTACAAGGGGGGAAGGGGAGGAAAATAGACAGACATGACGACGCTTTCATGGCTGTGAGTATACGTGTACAGGTCCATAGGAAAAAGAGGGTAAAGACGGAAAACGCCAAGGAGGGTGGTTAAGAAGCGCGGCGTAGTGTTGGAAGTGAAGCGGAGCCAAGAGAAGTATGTGAAGGGCCCGCCGGTTGGGCGAGGGCCAAGCCGGACAGCCGCGGTCTCGCGTTCGGGAGCTGAGGTGTGGTGTGGGCGGGATGGTGGTGGTTCTAGTCTTCCGGGTGATGGGAGAAGTCCGTGATGGACGGCGTGATTCGAGAAGCCAGGCGGGGGAGAAAGGCAGAGTAGTAGTGAAGGCTGTGAAGCAGACAGGATAAACCGCATGCTTCGTGGACGGTGGACATTGAAGACGTGGTCGGCCGAGCGAGGCGGAGGAGGTCCGAGCCAAGACGATGGGAGAGTGATGTGCGATGTGCAAAAGGAAACGAAAGGCTGCAAAGGAGAGAAGACCGCCATGTTAGCAAGCGCCGTCCGTCCTCGTCCCCCTCCTTCGTTTTCGCTCTCTGCTCACAGTCAAAGTCTAGGAAAATAGATGATGCTGGACGTCATGGTGGTTGCGGCCGGCTCGATCCGTTGCGGTATTCAGATATCCTTCGTGCCAAGAAAAAGGCGATTGAAGGGCTGCGTGTGTATTCGCTGATAGCAATATAGAGTGTGAACTAGTCTAGTAGACATGTTTGGACCGCGGATCGAACCACGATTGCCAAAAGCTTGGATCATTAGGTAGGCTGCTCGGCGTCAATTACCCTTTGACGAGCGTCTTAGCCAATGAGGAAGAGGTCCAGGACGTCGTTAAAGTATGGTCTTGGCTAACCTTTTCCCTCTCGGTCTTCTATCCCCCCCTCTCCAGCTTGCCCGCCAGCCTCAGCCTCAGGTGCAGGCCAAGTCGTCGCCCATAACCTTCTTCATGCCCCCCCAGCAAGCCTTAGTTGAAAGAAGGAAGGAGGTACATGGGGGCAGTGGAGATGTCAGGAAGACAGAAACAACCTTGTAGGTTAAGTTGTGAGATATCGGACGAAAGGTGGGACCTGGGGTGAACGGGGCTGTGTAAGCTCAGATAGAAGGACGAAAACGTTGTTGTTTACGTTGACGTTGCCGATCCTCATCGATAAGGGGACAGCTCCACGGCTCCACGGCGCCGAGGTCCGTGGCCCGTCGCGCTCCGGAAGGCGGGAGGCTCGCGGCCGGGAAGGAAGCGACGATCGGTTCGCTGACTCGCCAAGCCGGACACCTCGCTTATTTTCGGCGGGGGGTTGGTAGGGACGCTTCTCGTTGTTGGGAAGGTGCGTACCGGTTCGTCTCCCACTCTCCCACTGGTTACACTGCAGGCTGCCACTCGAAGCGAGGATCTGAGCAGGACCACGTAATCCTGTGATGAATCACTGCAATCCGCTCTTTTGAGCCCGGAAAAGCGAATGGGAAAAAAAGGAAGAAAGTGACGAGAGTACGAGAATTGGGATTTGAGGTTTTCTTCTCACAATTGAGACGGTTCTTTGATGTCTGAAAATTCCAATTTCTTTCCTAGAAAACGCCACGCTCAATGCAAAATCAAAGTACAGCACACTAACCCCTTTGGTGTGTCTTCTTTTTATAACGGTTTTTGGATGGAACATCTCTTCTCAAGCTTGCCTGCGAGCGTCTAGGCTCAACGGCGAAGCGAGCTGGTAACGAGATCCATGGTAGGAAACTCTGCTCGGACATTTGACTACTCTTGAGGCAACGACGATAGGAGATGGGTATAAGGTGCCTTGCATCTAGTCGCGCGTCTTTCTTTGTCCCCCGCAAAGTTTGGAGAGAAAAAAGTCAGTAGTCCCCTCACTGGAGAAGCTCCTCGCAGGTCCAATCCTCGTAGCTATTGGCGCGCAAGGTCAGCCGGGCATGGTTCAAGATAACGGTGCAGAATGTCCACGAAGCTTGCGTGGACAGCCCCGGGGAGGGGTTTGTCGTCCGGCACTTACTATCCGTCGGGCATGTAGCGGCGCACAATGAGAGGAATCTTCTTCTCTCGGAGCTCCTTGATCGCGATTTGAAGAGGATCCGTCTCTCCTTCCAAGTCCACCAACACCGGTGCATTCATACTAATCCCATGCATTAGCTTGTTTCTGTCCTGGTGCATCGCGAGGATTTCATCGCGGGGTATCTGCTTTTGGTGGGATTGCGTTTGTACGAACCTGATCTGCAGGGCGCGGGTGCCCAGGATGCGGGCGCGCTCGTACTTTGTCATGTAGGGAGTCGTCGTGCGCTGGTCATCGGGAATCTTCTTGTCGCGGTGCGACTTCTCGTTGCCCTTGCCTGCGTTCGCTGCCGCAGAGGGGTCACCCGATGCAACGACATTGTCCGCGTCCTCCTCGTCGCCCTCTGCCCTTCCAACTTCTTCGTCGTCCGCAGGAACCTCGGGATCCCAGTAGTCAGCAGCCTCGTCCTCGTACATGGTCTCGTCGCTGTATCACGGTTAGCAGTCGCGCCGCAGCCTGAAAGTGCACGTATTCTTACCCTCCGCCAACATCGTCATCGCCGAAGTCAGACATCTTGAGGTTTCAATTGATGGGGTTGATGACTTCCGGAGTGGTGTGATTCGTTGCTGCGTCCTGGTTCCTACGTTCGTCGCGTGTTGTTGGGTTGTCGCAAGCGGACCGTTTGCTGGATCCAGCCGTGAAAAAATATTGACGAGGCTGCTGCGATGGACAGAGTCCCCCCTGGTGGGTCCGCACTAGTCTTATCAGCAAAAGGAAAAAGCTTATCCGGACCGAGTCGACCCCGGCCCCTCGTGCCGTGGCTGGTGCAGCGCACAAAATTTCGCCAGACCGCCTGGGAATCCGCCAATTCTGCCAGGAAATAAGTTCACCAGCTCTCGAAAACTTTGGCAATCGATGCTCTTTTTCTCTTCGCCAAGGCAAGGCAGGCAATGCTCGATCTCAATCTCTCCTCATGACGAAACGGAAGGTCCAAGAGGCGGAAGCCTCCCCGGATCTGAAAAGATCCAAGGTAGCGGCGCTGGAAGACACCGGTTGGTGAGCCCGCTGTCGAACTACAACTGGTGCGATTTGGCTAACAGGATGGGAGGGAAAGCTGCCAGCGACGACGACGACTACGATGATACTGCCAGCAATTCCGGCTCGACCGCCGACGCCGAGGTGGAATCTGTCATGACAGGCCAGACCTCCGTCACCACTCGATCCCGCAAATTCCCCTCAGATCTCAAGACCATCCCATGCACGTATCCAGACTGCGACAAGACGTTCAACCGGCCCGCCCGCCTGGCCGCCCACCTCCGTTCCCACACGGATGACCGACCGTTCAAGTGCACCTACCCCGGCTGCGACAAAGACTACCGCGAGGAGAAGCACCTCCGCCAGCACGTCAAGGGCTCCCACACCCAGGAGCGGGCCTACGTCTGCACCCACGAAGACTGCGGCAAGTCCTTCCTGACGGCGACGAGACTGCGCCGTCACCAGGACGTCCACGCAGGCCAGGAGCGCTTCCGGTGCCGCGACTTCCCGCCGTGCGCCCAGAGCTTCCGCAAGCACAACACCCTCCAGCGACACATCCGGTCGGAACACCTGGGCACGCACGCATACCCGTGCACGGCACCCGGCTGCGGCGCCGGCTTCGACTCCCAGGGGGCTCTCCGGAACCACACCAAGCGCGACCACAGCGAACCGCAGTTCTGGTGCGAAGAATGCGGCGGCGGCGACGGCGAGACAAAGGTCGGCTTCACGTCCATCTCGCTGCTCCAGGCACACATTCGTAAGGAACACCTCAACTGCATCTTCTGCGAGTACAAGTGCACCGGGCAGTGGGAGCTGGAGAGGCACGTCGAGATGCGCCACTCGGGCATCCCCGTCGACGCCCGCAAGACGGTCCCCTGCACGTGGGAGGGCTGCGACAAGAAGTTCACAAAGAAACACAATCTCACCGTCCACATCCGCACCGCGCACGAAGGATTCCGCTTCGTCTGCGGCGAGGTCGACGTCGCAGGCTCCCCTGACCTGGAGACCTGGTCCAACGACCAGGGCTGCGGCGGAGGCTTCGTCACAAAGGCCAACCTCGAGGACCACATCCGCTATGTCCACCTGGGTTTGGAACGTCCGGTGCCGAACCAGAAGCCACCCAACATCATTGACGATCTCGCCGGCACCAAGCGCACGATCCTCTGCACAATACCCGGCTGCGGCGCCCGCTTCATCCGCCACCACGACCTCCAAGTCCATCTCGAGGACCATCCTCCACCGGTGGGGGCCGCCGGCGACGGTGACCCGCAGATGGACATCGACGCAGCCCTCGCCAGCTTCGCAGCAGGCAACCCCAACGGCGAAGCCGACCTCGCGCCCTTTGACGGCAACCGCGAGATGCCGGAACTACCCCTATACGGCATCATCCCCGGCGTCACAGACTTTGTAGGCGGCGACCCAGGTGGGCCGAACGACGACTTCTGGATCGGTGCCGCCGACGACTTTGGCACGCCGCCGCAGACGTGGCAGGAGGAAGAAGCAGCCATGCGCGCGCTCATCGACGAGGACTTTTCCCAGTTTGTCGACCCTGCGCTAGGAAACATCGTCTGATAGGGGGAGGCGGGAAGCAGACCAAATGAAGAAGACCCAGCAATTTGCAACATGATTTTGATGACAGTATTAGATACCCGGCCACGGAAAAGGTGAGCCACGACAAAAAAAGAAGCCTGATAGATAAAAACGAGAGGGCCACCAAAAAGTTTGTTGCTTTTTAATTTGATGAATACTATGTGTATAACTATAAAGGACGAAAATGGAGGAGGTGCTTAGCTACTAGCGCTCAAAAGATATCAAGAATACTGTGTTGAGTCCAGCCGTTTACCACTCTAGTTATTTTCGTCTTTGCGAAAGGCAGAAAAGTATCAAGAGGAAACATTCGAAACCCGGCCTCGAAGCAAAATACTACTGCGGGCGGGATGCCTGCTTGCTAAGAAAAGATACGGGCCAACTACTCATCGATCGACTTACCCTTGCATAGTCCATATACTCGGTACACAGTTCACTTTGAAGAGGAAACAAAGTTTGCAAACAGAGATTCGCTTGCATTTGTCCAGGGAATCCATGCTTTTCCTGAAGTGCGCTCTAATAGACATACAAGTGATCGATGCTGGCCCATGAAGCCAGCATCGCCTCCTTCTGCTATATCCTTTGTCTCCCTCCCCAGACCTGAGCCAGCCCCCTCTCATTTCCGTTCCACATTGGCGACAGATCGTGACTGCCGTGTTCCAGGCAGATCATAATCTGGTATCTGCTGCTATGTTCGACCACAATCATATGCATGAAAGAGGTGGTGCCAAAATTTTGTGTGGTAAGTCTCCCCCGAGCTCTGGGATCGAGAAAACAGCCCCTGACCACTTTGCCAAACCGGCGATGAAATTATAGATGAGAAGAGACAAAAAATGAAAATAGAATCAAGAATCAAGGATGAAGTGAGAAGACGTCAGATGCAATTACAACAATTAACCAATCTTTACGCTATGTTCCTTTTGCATCATGTGCAGGGGTTGAGAAGAGCGCTGAGAAGGACGCTGTGATAGGTTGGGTACCTCTAGTTGGCAACCTCCTCTTCGACCCAGCCGTTCAGGCCACCTTGAATGGCAAGACCGTAGCCAGCGCCCATGCCGCCGAAGCTAGCCTGGTACTGGTGTCCACGACGTTGCTCGCCATCGTGGCCCGAAGGGACGCCGCCGTTCTCGAAACCGGGGTTCAAAGCAGGCAAGCTGACGGCACGGTTGTGTTGGCCGCGACCGTTGCCAGGAGCCAGAAGACCACCAATGGTAGTGGGTCCGGGACCGGAGGCACTCTGAGGATATCCGTTTGAGATGCTGGCCGACTGCTGGTGCCCAGAGATGGGACCCTGGGATTGCATGTCGATGGATAGCTCACTAGGTGATGACTGGGCTGTGCCGAACAAAGCCTGTTGCTGAACAGCAAGTTGCTGGTGCTGCTGATGTTGTTGATGTTGCGCTTGCTGAGAGACGTGGTTCAGGTACATCGTAAGGGGATGGTTGTTTGAACCAAACATCGTCGCTGACTGCTGGGGGGTGTTGCCGTTGGTGGGAGAACCAGAGTTCTGGGAACCATTGGGCGGCGGCGACGAAACACCATCGGTACGAGGAGACTGCGCCTGTTGCTGGAGCTGACGGGGTGCGTTTCCGCAGCGATCCTTGCCGAAGTTCACCTTGAACTTCTTGTACTCGTCCTTGCTGCGGATGGCCTCGATAGCCTTGATAGCGTTGGCAATGTTGGTAAAGTTGACAAAGGCGCAGCTCTTCTCTCTCAGAGTGTTGACCAGCTCGATCTCGCCGAATTCCGAGAAGTCCTGTCTCAGTCGCTCCTCAGTCCAGGTCTCATCGAGGTTACCAATGTAGACGTTGCGAGAAGCTCCTCCGCTGACAGCGAGGGCGATGGCAGGCGGCAAAGCACCAGAGTGCTTGCCCCAGCCAATCTTGAGCCTACGGTTGTGGATCATCAAGCCCTGAAGGTTGCTCAGAGCGTAGAAAGACGCCGCGGCCGTGGGATCGATGAAGGTAACGAAGCAGATGTGCTTGTCAGGGATGTAACGGATGTGGTGTAGAAGACCTCCGCGCACAACGTTGCAAATCTCCTCAATGGTCGTCTCGGGGTGGATGTTGCCCAGGTAGATGGTGCGGTTTCCGAGGTTGTTGATACCACCGGCGGTCGTCGCGACAGCAGCTGCCGCAACAGATTGTTGAGCCAGTGCATTGGAGATCACGTCGCGGTCTGCACCAGTAAGCATGTGCGCATAGCCAGGCGCGATACCCAGGTATTGAGCAGCGTTCTGCTGCTGAGTCTTTGAAACGTAGGCGCAACGGTCCTTGCCATAGTAAACGCGACGAGGAGCCTGCCACTTTGGCTCCTGAGGAAGCTGGGAAACAGCCTTGATCGCATTGGCAATGGACAGGAAGTGAATGAAGGCAATGCTCTTCTCACGAACAATTTTGACCGTGTCAATAGCACCGAACTTTCCAAGGTCCTCACGAAGCTCCTCCTCGGCAATATCCTCCGGCAAGTTACCCAAGTACACGTTACGGGAAGCACCAGACTGCTGAACAGCCAGGGCCACAGAGGTGGGAACCTGCGAAGGCTTGCCCCAGCCGACCTTGATGTCCTGACCCTTGATGCAGAGCTTTTTCAAGATGGCATCAGAGTGGAAGTGGGTTGCGGAGCTGGCGTCGAGGAAAGAGATGAAGGCACAGTTCTTATCGGGCAGAAGACGGACGGACTCAATTTGCCCGCTACGAACGTGACCCAGAATCTCCTCAGCTGAAGTGTCGGGAGGAATGTTGCCGAGGTAGACGGTGCGGCTGGTACCAGTGACCATACCAGGGCCCATTGAAACGGGAGAGCTGGGCTGCATGGGAATCTGCATGTTGTTGAAGCTTCCACCGGTGGGAGACTGAGGCTGGAAGAACTGAGGAGCGCCGTAGGTCGAAGGAGAAACCATGGCCTGGTACTGCTGAGGAGACATGTTCTGCTGAACAGGGCTCTGCAGGCCATTGTGCTGCTGCTGCTGCTGGCTCTGGTGCTGGGCTTGCTGGAAGCTCTGCAGGTTCTGGAACTGAGGGCTAGCGAAGGCCGCGGGGGTTCCAGGCTGGAAGGGGCTTCCGAGCAATAGCTGGGAGGGAAGAAGAGGCGTAAACTGCATGTCGAAAGCGGTGCCAGGAGTGGCCATGTCGGCGGCGGAAGGGGGCGCCTGGTGCTGGTGCTGATGCTGATGCTGGAGCTGGTTCAGGGGCTGAGTGTTGATGGTGGGAATGTTTCCACGACGAGGGTGTCTGTCAGCGAAGCCAGAGATGTTGGAAGTGAAAGCTCCGTGAGAGAAGCCAGTTTCGCTGTTGGAAGGCTTGGAGGCGTGACCGAAGCGGTTCCCAGGAGCACTGGGGCCGCCTTGGCCGACGGGTCCTTGAATTTCCTGCATCCCGAGTAGATGCGGAGGGACAAGGCTGTCCCGACCGATTTGAGATAGAATCGCCGTTTTGAAAGATTAGACGTGCCCTTAGCAGGCACGAAGAATCGAAGATTGGCGCGTTGGAATGCTACGATATCCGAGGAATACCGTAGTTTTCAACGTGTGATTGGGTATGTCTCAAAATCCGTCCAAGGGGCAGGCCAACGATGTCAGAGTGCAAGACAAAAGGTGGAGCGAGACTGGTGGTGCTAGCTTGGTTAAACCAAACTATCAACGGGCCGTTTGGTGAAGTGTGTGGCGAAAGGGTGCCTGGTGCCAAAGTCGAAGTTTGTGAATTATATGGATCGAAGCAACAAAACCTGATCAGGTGGCGGCAAGATTGAGGCAGCGGCGTCAGATTGCGACTAGAAGCCTCAGTATCTCCGTTGTTGCTGTAGAAAGCAATGTGGTGCAAAGTATTCCGAGTGAGTTTGTCGGGGTCGGAGCAATGTTGGCCTGAAGCAAGTCGTAGAGCAAGTAGGTTGAAGCAACAATTTGCAGGCGGTCAGCGAGCGTCGAGGATTCGGATCGGATCGGTGTTGAGATAGGCGCTGAGACTGATCACTCCTCGCAGGCAGACCGGGTGAAGGTCAAATAATTATGGACGAAGGATATACGGGCAACGAATGTAGGAGCCAAGGTGAAGTGTCGATCAACACAACAGCAGCGGTAACGATCGCATAGGCCAGTGAGTCGACGGCGGCGACGAGCGAAATAGCCGAAAGGGTGAAGAATAGAAGATGTAAGAATAAGGATGAAGGCGGTCGGAGGGAGGAGGTGAAGAGGAGGAAGAGGATGTAGAAGGGAGGTATAGGTGATGGAGACGGGAGGGCGAAGAGGAGAAAGAGGTGAGGTTAGGTTAGGGGGGTAGAAGTCTAAGGGTGGAGGTAGGAATAGGAGGGAGACAAGTAAGGTTAGGTAACAAGAATAGGAGCAGGGAAGAGCCAGTAGAAGGAGAGAAGAAAGAAGGATAGAAAAGCTCAAGGAAGCGAGAGTGAGAGAGCGTGAGAGAGAGAGAGGAGTACGCACACACGCGCAAGGTGGAAGGGATGGAAGGAGAAAAAAAAAAAAAAAAAAAAGGTGAGCAAAGGCGGGAAAGCGGAGTGAGGAGGAGTAGGTAAGGTACGGACCACAGTACAGCGTAAGGTAAGGTACGTGAGGTACCTACTCCATATGTGAGGTACGGGAGGAGAGGTAAGGGTAGCAGGAGGGCGAGTGGTGGACTATGGGAGACCAGGAGAGAGTGGACGGGGGGTTCGTGTAGGCGGTAGATTACCCAAAAGGGTCGAAAGTAGAATTGGCTGCGCTAAGTTTAATGAGACGGGCCAGGGATTACGGCAGGAGAACCCACAGCACGAGAGCCCACAGTCACCAGAGGAGAGAGAGATTCAGATCAGAGAGAAGCCAGAGAGACTAAGAACTACAAGCCCGGGGGGATGGGTTGGATCATGGACAAGGACAAGGCCAGTCTCTGTCTCGGTCTGCTTCTGCTGTCTTTCCAACTGCTAAGGTACGGAGTACTGGTGATGGGTGATGGGTGCTGATCTCTGTTCTGAGGGTTCAAAAGACCTAACGACAG